ATCAACAGTTCAATAGCAATTGTCAAGTCATTTTTTTATTTTTCGCTTGACGTCCGTTGTATTTCTACGTTTTAGATAGCTAATAATCAACTGAAATCTATTTCATTTAGCAGGATTGAAAGATACTGCATAAGATAGCTATCTATTGAATTTTTAAAAACATTCAAAAGCTATATAAATAATCAACAGTAATCGATTAACCATAAAAATATCCCTAATCATCCATGTGAATAACCGGTAGCAATTAATTTCTAGTCATAAGTAAAAAGATTAACCAAATATTTTATAACTTCACGTCTTTATCATATAATTCATATAGAGTTTCATCTCATCATTCACGGCAAAGTATTAAAATAAGGACATCGGGAATTAATCAAAGACTTTTAATAAGGTAAAAAATGAGAATAAACTGATAACTATACGAGTAATTTAGTAGAAAAAGACAAAATAATGTTGTAAGCCTTGTTACCATTTAGTTAATCATTTTTAAATCTGTGATTAATGTTTATTTTACTTGTCCTGATTTTTTCTTCTTTATCTTACATTAAAAAATTTTAAATGTCTTCAACGATATGACCCCTATTGATCCTACTTATTAAATTTACCGCTACATGATTCAAAAAATCAATATTTCGTAGTATAAGTATGTAACTAAACTCGTATTGAGTTCAAATACAGACGAGAAATGATAGCATGCCGCATTTATCTTATAATCAGTGATAAAATTCATCGTCAAGTAGAGAATATAAAGAAGTTATCCATTCCATGTTGATTAACTTGTAGGATAGGATATACTAATTTAATCGACTGAATATATGCACAGGTAGTAACGGAAATATTGGCATTCTTTAGATAGAAATACTTTCATTTATAGGATATATAGCTCATGAGTTAAAACTAATAAAGATCATGACCATTATCATCAGAAGGAAAAATTCTAACCTATATCTTAATTCAATTCTTCGTTTATAGCTTATAATAACCTTGATGAAAAATAAACATGCTGAGTTATTTATTTCATTCAATTAATTCAATCAAACGCCTTTTTCCCGCACTTATGTCGTAAATTTTAATTTTGTTTCGCTGTGTTAATTGAATAAGATACTTATGTGAGAGTAATAGATACCACCTCAATTAGGCTGTTATTCGGTATTTATTGGGCACAATATTAATTAGCAGATTTTAATTCTGATATTTTTATAATAAGATATTTACAGTAAGAGTAATTGAATGGCTAATGAAAGCTTTTTCCAGATAGCTACATGAGTCGTTTTAGTGATAAAATTATTAATATAGCACATCCTCATCTTCTAGCTCTATTCAACAAATTAGCGTCACTAAACAGGCAGATAATCGTTCAATAATTTACTATTTTTCTTCGGGGATATCTAAATGATTAGAATAATATCGCTCGTTTTTCACTGATCCTGTCCATGATTAGTAATAATGTGGGAGGAATTGAAATCCATTAATATCCGAATATATTAACCAAGCCATCTGCTTTATAAACTGATAACAATTAAGATTGTAATAAGTCTTCTATATAACAATCTTGCTAATATTCAAGACTTAGCTATAATATCGCAAATTCGCTTTACTGATATACCGCAGCTTTTACTTGCAGTCTTAAGTAATTGTATCTGACTTACCGATATCGTTTTGTTCCCATTCTCAACCCATTTCAGATAAAGATGACTACGCTATTATTATAACTATTTTAACTGATTGTCTTGATAGCTATTAATACACAAATCACTAAAATTGCTATTACATAGCTGATAAACTATGCCACAAAGTGCATATATGATGATAGACAACATTTCACTATCAATCAATTTCCCATAAAAAACTGTGCAATTAAGTCAACCAATAATCGCACAATAAGATAACAACCTTTGTTAGTATGACTATTTAAATAAGCATGAGAATTGAGATTATCTATCTAATTTCAATCACAACTTTGCTCATTCAATAAGAAACAATTATCAATCGAAAATATAAAATAAAAATTCACTTTTATAGAAATTAGCGTTATCAAATTACTGCATAGTACAATAAAGAATGATTAAAACCGTCTTTGACTTCAGATGGAATTTATTTTATGACATGTTTTTTAGTATCACCAACATAGTTGTTGTTGATTGTATAGGGCAAATAGGGAAAATTTATTTTCAATCCCTATTAAAGTGGAGCTTTGTAAGCTAAGTAGAGGAAATGAAACCGTAAGACGAGCCGTAAGAATTGCGATCACAGATTCCGAAAAGTCAATCTCATTGCCGGCAGATTGATAACATGCGATAATCTAAGTTATTCTTACAATCAGTAACGATATTTACATTTTATTGCTCAATTTTTCTTCAGAAAACCTAACTTTACTTAAAATTTACCAATGTCATCCGGTCTGGCTTTCTCACCCTGATAAAATCTAATTGATGAAACAACAATAGCTGTAATTTGACAGTATATCTTTAATAAATTAAATGGAAGGCTAATGCCCAATGCTATTTAACAATCAATAGCGCTGCAGCTGCTAGTAATGGTCGAAGATATTCATACATAACATATATACAATTTAATTCTAGATATGATTAGGAAGCAATTTGCAGCTTCTTTTTTAACCAACTACGTAATGAGTAGACTATATACTGTAGTGAGATATTATATTATCTAATCCAAGCCATGCTACTGCAATACCATGTTTACTCTTAAGCCATATCACGTATTTTCGATTCCCACTAACTCTAAATAGTATTGTCCTGATCATTCCATTATTATTACTGTTATCATTATTTATCGTTTTATCCTTTTTTTTTACATATGCATGGAAGTAATTGTTAGATCTAATTATAAGATGTCCAAATTAACTTTCGATCTTACTATTTAGTTATTTGTTGTTTATTTATTTCTTAAAAATGACTTATTGTATTATAGTTGTATGAGTACACCAATTGTATTATGATCTAATTAATTTTATGATTTTCATAGTGCTAAATAGAAGTTTTAATTAATCGCTGACTGTGAATGAAAACAATCTTGGTTGTGTACAAGCGGAGCCATTCATTCATGACACATCATTGCTTTTAATTTCTACTTCCAACAAGGTCTATCTGGTGATAGATGAGACTCTATGAGGTAGATTGCATCATTACAAGCTTGGATCAAATTAATTATTACTTCTATTTTTAAACGTTAAATTGGCCAGACGTCGGTATTTAATCCAACAATTCTTTGCTAGAATTTCATTTTATTTAAAGTGAAGCAAAGTCAACTGGTAACCATTACTGCCACAAAGCAAATCTAGGGCTATTGGTAAAGAATGAAGCATATTTATGTTTTACAATGTATAGGTAGGTTCAAATTTCACTACGATTACTACATGTCCTGCAAGCTTTTTCTCTCTCTTTGCTCTCATATCCGGAATCTGAATACTTTACCCATGAGTATACTTTGCGTGTACAATGCTGTATACGCAAATTATAATCATTTTTCATATCGAAATAGTCTTTCCTATGTGGATTTTAAATACCTCAATATCGTTAATCAAATTATTAATAAATGTTAGTGTTACGCGTTAATATAACACCTTAACAAAATCCCATCCTTGATATTTTACTATACATGTCGATAAGATGATATTTACTTTTAATATCTTGATACATTTTTGCATTTAATATCTATCAACTTGTAGATATAAATACGTACAAGATTTTATGTTAAAGCATCATCCTAAATTTCGAAATCAGATACTTCAACTTAAAACTTAGTATTTGATAAATTAAACACAGAGCAGTCATTGTAAGTGTGAAATTACGGCAACAAGAGTAATTTAGATAAAAAAATGAGTTAGACAAGAATTATGGATGGTTTACGATCGTCCATTTTCAATAGCTATTTTCTACGTCGTGTTATCAAATAGAATTTTAAGTTAGCATAAGGAATTATAGTTGCTCATAAGTAAGAAAGCCGCATTTAACTTAAATTACCATAGCATTAGTTTGAATGATAGTTTAATCTCTGATAGAATATGTTAACATTCAAAATAACGAATAAAAGCAATGTCGTTTAGTCTTCGTTTTGTCAAGTTCTGGTTTTATTCAAATACAATGATACCTCTGTCTGGCTAAGCTTTGACATATTTATTATTTTACTGATAGAATGACTTGACCAAGCAAATTTAAGAATAGAAAATGTAATGTTATCAAACACTTTAACGACTGTATTTCTTACAGCAGTCATCGATGATCCAATTCTTAGCACTGCCTTTGCTACGAATTTCCTCTACTTTCGCCAGTATGAGTTAATTTTTAAGTCAACTAGAAAGTAGTCCAGGCTAACTCTGTAAAATGCTAATCATGATTGTATTTAATCTATAGTTTCCGTGTTTAAATTGTATAAATTTTTAGTTATTGTTTAGTATAATGTAGTTGGCAGGATAGGTTAGATTTCGATTTAATAACCTAAATTATAAGAGATATTTGCTTATAATGAAGCCGCAACCCAATTTTTGCTCAATCTTTGAATATGCTTAGAAAGGCTGTTTATTTATTATGACTTATCCATTTTCTATTTGTAGATTATAATGCAGTAATTTCTTATCTTGATAATCATTAATTATTACTTATCATAATTTTCTCCGGTATTAAAGCATTTTACTCCCATAGCTTGATGGGAATTAATTAGTATACCCATTGAAAATTAAATATTCCTTACTTTACTAGGCAAGGGATTTTTAATCTTTAACTCAATCTTAATGACAAGTGAATGAATTTAAAATTTATAATAAATAATTAACGGATTTATTCTTCTCATTATTCATCTGTTCTTTTAAGCTATATTATCGTTGCTGCTATGGTGTAAAACCAATGGAGAACAAATATGCCATGATACTGTTTATATAAGTGATGAACTTGCAAGGCCAAGATATTACTATCATGACCTTAGATTGATGATCGACTTAACTCGGCATACGCTTGATTGCATCAGTAAAATCGAAAGGAGAAATGATTTCAACCTACCACTTTGTTATGAATTTCAAATCCCAATTAGCGAGGATAATGAGGTATGCAATATTAATACTGTATTTTTTGATACACATTAGTCAAAGTCAGTAATATTACTCCAAATGCAAAACAGAAAAGGATTTAATTCGTTAGAACTGTGATTTCATTAACATGTTATAATACGGTAAAACCAAAAAATTAATATTATCGTGAAAATAAATCTGACCGTTTTTGAGGACTCATTTCTAAATTGTATCATTTTTCTTTTTCTCTATCCATTTTTATGCTCGAATGGCAATGATAAAACGTATTATGGATCGAACAATGTGATATTTAGCCCTTTACCATATTAAATAATTCTCTGTATTATGCACATATTATAACAAGCGCAATGAATATCATGCTATACGATCAAGTTGAAGTAAATATTACTGATCATATCGGCCTGCACTGCAATAGATCCTTGCAACGGCTAATTGAAGACTCGATGGGGATAATAACCAATCTTGAGGAGCGAATAGTAAGCCAATGGGTTTAAATCTATTTCTATTTCATAAGTTTTAAGGCAGTAATCTTATTAACTTTTATTATCGATATGATAATCTATATCATAGTATGGCTAATGTATTATCGTTACCTCTAGAATTTGGCTACATATAAAACGGACGCTATTGATCGGATAGCTTGTAATAAAGCCTGCGAGGTAACTTTTAAAATTATTCTCTCCTATTCAGTTGGTAATTATCAAAGTAGAAGTAAAAAGGAGATAAAAATTAAGGAGTAGTGGCAAATCGGTAACTAACAATTTAATTCAAATTCCTTTTCTAGTTGGTAACATCATGTAAACATCGCCATTGCCAAAGCAATTCCACTATCAAAACTCGGTCTTGTCACATCAAATCCTGCCAAAATCGACTATGTAGACGTAACTTTGACCCCAGACCGCATAATAAGGACTGTAAAAAACAGCAAGATAATTGCCCAGGTTTAATTTCAGATGGTATAAAGCATTGGCAAGTGGCATTTCAGTTATTTGATAAAGCGTTAAATTATATACTATCCAACATTGAGTTGCAACTATCAAGTTCAAATTTGCAAGAATCTATGTTGGACTTAAAATTATACATCAAAGCTTACAAAGAAGATATCAACATTGCACTAGGAAACGATTTAGCTGAAAAAAGAGATAGCTCTCCTTCACTTAAAGAAATAATTCAACATTACGCCTTCAAACCATAAATTATAACATTATTAATGTAGAATTGCGTGATGATGCTAGTTTCTACATTAGTCCCATAAAAGTAGTTTACTAAGGACATAATAAGAATTTTCCTTACATTGGTAGTCCTACAACTTCTTATCGTCATGTTTTCGTTGTATTATAATACAACGAGCTTACTGCTCAATTTTAGTCTAAGTCTTATTTTATTAATATTAATTAATACTATTTCAGTCAATACGTTGATAAAAATTATTAGTTATGTATCCGCTTTAAATCAAAGTATTATTTATTAGATTGAGATGATAGTTTTATGTACTAATTAACTGATAAATAGGTAAGATAAAATTAATTAATGGAAAAACAAAAATAAAAATAACTAAGGCGATATTTGTTATTTCGGTTGTATTATTTTTCCAAAGGAAAAAAGTATCATCGTATTGCATCATGCGATTAATTAGAGATAATTTCCCCATTTCGTTACATGGCAATGTAGGAAGGCATGGGGCATTTATAATAAATTGGGATATGTTCATCTTAGAGTCCAATGTACAATATAATTTTCTATTTGATTCTTAAGTTATCAAAAGAGGAACATGGGGATTATTGTATTCATTACTTTCACCTAGATCTTTATTATTGGAATATAATCTAGAGTCTTCTCAAATTTTTAGTTCGGAAATCCTAGAGTAATAATAAGAACATAAATTAACTTAATCTCCTAGATCATGTGAGATCCGTTATTATACCAATTTAATAGATTATTGCATTCAGGTGTGTCTGGTGTCTACATATTTCAAGCGATATTGTTTATTGTATAGCACTTTACTTTAGAACAGTAAAATCTGTTTTTCGGGTATTTTGTCGTCACTGCTCTACGGTAAAAGTGCTGATTCCATTTACTATAATACTATGCTCCGAATTAAATGATTAAAAATAAGAGTATTACACTACAACTAAGAAAATCGCCAAATTTGGCTCCTTTTGGAAGAGAGGAGTAAAATGATTGATAGTTAATCTTCCGTACTTGCTGAATTAAATATATATGCACTTTGTTCTTCGAAAACATTATTCATCTTATACACTATAGCTTATCTTATTAGTATTCATGGCTGTAAATTAATTAGAGCTCACATTGCTCATTTTATCGAAAACTTTGGAAGAAACTTTAATATTAATTTCTTTTGTCTGTTAGCATATTTAATAATTTCTACAATATCTCCTTAAAGTAATAAATAATAATTTTCAGGAGCATATGGATTTATTTTGGTTGATTCATTGAAGGTCGTAGATATTGTAATAACTTCCTTCATTGTAAAAGCAATAGTGTAATAATCTTCTTAGTGGCTATTGTATTACTTACATTTTATATCAATTACTACCACATACCTGTCAACTACTGATCTTTAAGCCTTGATTCATGGTTATTTATTTGTATAAATAATCAACCAGAATTAGAATTATTGACTTCACCAAAGAAAGGCTTAGTATTAACTTTACAACTAAATTTTAAGTATATTACTTTATAGCGTAATGTAATAAATATCATGATAGAACTTATTGTAAATTTGTGAAGTAATTAATCCAATAATCCCAATCCTGCTTCAATTTGAACACAAAATTAATTATTGTTGTTTTCGCACTATACCTTATGTTGTATTATGTAAAATATATTAATGAAGCCTGCCGAGTGTCTAGCCTTAAGATACACTAAGGTTGAACTAAAATATGACAATTTAGCAACACAGAATCATGTACTACGAAACAAAAAAAATTAATTAATATTCTGTATTAATTACTAGAATCATAAGATTAATCATTTCTATATGATGCTCATTATCAAATCTTAATGGTGTTATGTTCTTACAGCATTTTAAAGCCAATAATGGTATTTATTTGATTGATAAGAGCTGAATCTTTAATAACGTTAATGCGTTTTATGTTACATATAATTACATCCTATAATAACTATTGATTATTGTTAACTCTTATGAATTCAAGTTCGAACATTTTGTAGGATTCTATAATTTATCACCGTTCAAAGTGAGGTCTGTCTTCTATTAATGAGAAAGTAGGAATTGTAGCTGTTTCTATTAGATTTAAACATCTTAACACTTTAACATTGATAACTGGTACTTTAATAAAATCAATCAAAAGAAGAAATTGTTTGCATTTATTTATTGCTTTTTATTTCGGGTTGTAGTCTCTTTTTTTTATTACTTTTACTTATACCACATGTAAACAATTAAACTAGGCAGATAGTGAAACGTAATTTACTGATTTCTACTCTTGTCTGTATTAAGCTGCAATAATACTGCTGATTCAGTCCTGTCTTTTACTGTGTTTACACGATTTAAGCTCTGAGACGGAATCATTCTTATGCCTTTGTTTCACGTTTCTTAGTAAAAAATATTTATTTATTGACAGTCGATAACAAATTCATAAATGATGCTTACGAGTTCTGTATGGCCTAAAATATTTTATGGTAACTCAGTAACGACACCCTAATTATTATTGCTTGATTAATAATAACTAGCCGAACTTGCGGGAATTCTATAGTATACTTTAATAGCTCGACATACGTACAACTGCATCAATATGAAATGATAATTATCAAAATTTGATAAATACGCTAAAATATTGCCGATATAATTTTTACTGTACCAAAATGCATAGAAAATTGTGTAACTGAGCTAACTAAATATCTGAAAAGCGCAAGACTCGAATGTCTGAAGAAAGCAATGCACTAATATTGATTATATATATTAGTAAAGTACGCGTATTAGAAGATATGAAATATTCATACTCATATATTCATCATCTAATACGGGCTGCTTGAAAGATCTTGCTGCCAAGTCATTGTTTAATACAAATTCCAGAAATAAATTGTATCTTTAAGATACACATAGTACAGAAAATTGAGTCTAAATTTCTAGAATACCTGTAAAATGACGCGAAGAAATAGTTTTCTTTATTGTATGTATCATTAAGAAAATAGGAAATTACATTTTACGCTAATATTTGACGTATTCTTATATCTGCGAAGTACCATAATCGTTTCAAGCCCACCTTTAACAGTTCTTAGACTGTAAATTGTAATTTTAAGAAAAGCTTATCAAATTTTCAGATATGTTCGCATTCAATTCATCTTTGTTATTTCAACTGTAATAATCTAGAAAATTATTATTTAAATAAGGTTAACAACATCGATTAGCACAATATTTTATATTACAAATCCACAGTATGTCTGCATCTACACTAAACAATTACATAGGGTTGCCTAGCCAAAAAACGATCTCACTCAAGGAATGGGTACCAACTAGTTGAGATGTGAAAAACTATGCTTTAAACTACCCAATCCTTCTTCTTCTTCTATACAATAGGTATAGTTTAAGAACCCTAAATTTAAGAGCCTTTAATTTTGCTCCGTTCTGAATATCGATTTAATGAGTACATGAATTTATATAGAATTATAGATATTTTGGTGTTAAAATATCCAGTTTCCTTATAATATTAAAATAACGCTGTATCCCTTTTAGAAGACTGGTCTAGCTATGTTTTAGAATTATGGTAAGAATTAGTATGACAAATATATGGCGAACATAAAATTATTATGATTGTACAGTCGTGATTATTGATAAATAGAGCCAGAATCTACGAATGGAATGATCGCTTAATCTAATTTGTATTGCCGTAATTTTAAACTATTATCAACCCAATTTCTCATCAAAGTGCGGCTTGTAAGTTACCCTACAATTACAGGTCGAGCTGAATATTATTAACTGTAAAGCTAGTAAAATAGGCAAGAAGTTCTACTATAATTGTATCTACCATTATAACTTAGTACGGTAACCTGTGCCATTTGAACGTTTTAAAGTAAAGTTAATGCAGTGAGTGTGGCTAGCTGAGATTATCATTACCGGCGATAATAATGGCATCTAGTCATATTTTAGGCACTCTAATTTTGATATCACTTTTATTTTCAGCATTCATTGAGATTAATGAGCATGTTATCCATTTATGTATCATTTAGATTAAATAAGATACAGGATCAAGGCTTCATTACTGAAAGCGAAGCTGTTATATTATAATAGTCAAAATTGATCTAAGATTGCGGTTAAATATTAAAGTTTTATCACCATAAACCTTCTTAATTAGTTACGTAACAGTTATACTTAACATCATCGCATTTTTAGCTTATGAAGTTGTCACAAAACAGCTTTGCAACAAGATAACGCAATATACGATCAATAAGTCAATTCCTTGAACCACGTATCAAGGAACGATATCTGCACTATCACAAACACTTTTGCTCTACTAGCAGACTACACAAAGACTTAAACGCCTCGTATTTTACGTTAAACACTAAGTTGGACAATTCTTCTTTATTTCACGATATACTGCATTTATATACTATTCCTCAATAGTTCATGAGTCATAGTTAATACAATTAACATTAGAATCATTTACTGAATTAGATATTAATTTTAGCTACTGCTCCCTTAATGCAGACAACAGAATTTACGAACATAGACATGTAATGACTAATACAGAATAGTCAGATTACGATATGTCCTATCACGGAACATTTCTATGATAATTTACAATCTACCATAAGTAAATTACAATCACAATGATTCGAACTGTAAGCAGATGATTTGCATTCCCTATTATAACTATTATAATTTCAGTATGTGTATAAGTGTCACTGTCATAAAAAGTCAGTGCTATATTAAAATACAGTATATCCAAATTAGAAGTTAACTAAGTAAGGATAGTCTAACAGAATTATCCTAACATAGATATTTCTACTGTAATACAGTGTATAACACTGTAACAGAAGTAAAGAATACAATACCTTATTGCTAGACTATAATACTTTACAAATAAGCTTGTGCGAGAAATTAATATAACCAATTTTTCCATTAGTTTGATGCTTGAGCACAACTAAATAATTTGTGTGCACTTACGTGTTCATTAATATAATATGTACTTATATTTATTTTACGAGATATGTGCA